ACTTTATTCATCCCTCTCCCGTGGAACTCATCATCAGCCATGCAGTCAGTGTTGTTCAAGTAGCCCGTCAATGAAAGTGTGTGTCTTTGAAGGGACCATCCAAGAGTGATAAAGTGTCACTCTGTCAGTGTAGGTCTGGTGTCTGCAGTGTCTCCTGCGTTTGTGAAGATGTGGATGCACTGGGCTGATATCACAGTGAGTAGACTTTTCTCTACCTTTGGATATTTTGGGCTTTGAAAGTTCTACAGGCAATTGATTTTCATTGTGATTCCTACATTCTTTGCTTTCCAGCTACTAATCATCACTACCCACAATACTCAGGTGATGAGATCCTCTGTTGAAATAACTTTGTATAATAAAAAAGTGCGTCCTGCTTCTCCAGGTTGAAGAGTCCTTGTGGGAGCTGATGGGAGTTTGTTTGAAAGGTTTCATTCCTGCAACTGTACTGTCTTTGCTATTGACTACGGTAAGCCAATAAGTTACAATATGAACACTTTAAAGGAAAAAGTTTTGCAACAAATGCTTTTGTAATTATTTTTATTCTTTCTGACTTAAATTCTAAAACTGAAACAACATAAAATTACTTCTTAAACTGAAACTGAACTGAACTCTTTACCATACAGATGAGAGGAATGGATTTTTTATTTATTTATTGTGTTCACGTTGTCAAAAGTGTTTAAAAAGTCATTTTGAAAGTGTTTTCCAGCATCTGGTCACACAGATTTTGAAGGATTTGTTTTTAGATTTCATTTATGCTTTATTGAGGCAGATTAAACATTTTAGATGTTTTATTTAATATAACTCTTTAACAGTATACTGTAACTTTATTTTTTTATTTGAGCTCCCTGCCGTGTTTAAACTACATACTAAAATGTGTGCCAATTTTTTCCCCTCATACTTTTGATCTTGTTGTTATTTATTGCCTGTTCATGTTATAAACATCTATATTCATTCTGCCTAATAGTTTTTTTATCTGGGGCCCCTGGTTCAGTCTGCTTTGGACAACTCTGACGGGTTCTCTGGGGAACTTCACTCTGCCCTGGGTATTTATAAGGTTCTGTTAGAGAAATCTGATGCAGAAACTTTGACATATGTGCCGGCTCTGCATTAAAGATGATCACTATCTCCTGACTAATGTATTTTCCCAGATGTGCAGAGTTGGAGGATGTGCGTTAAAGATGCAGCGTGGCTCAGGAGCCAGGTAGTGGCGCCAGTGATGGAGGACGGAACATGCTGCCGATGTTGGTGCCTTGCACTGGAGCCACAGCTCTTATCTTCATTGCGCCTCTGTTCTTTGGTGTTGGTATGACAGGAAACTTTGGGGCCACAATGACATCATACTCTACTAAAGCACGGCAAAATGCACCAGTTGACCTGCAGGAGTTTTGCTGTTCCTGTTATAATGTTTGCAAACTTTATCTTAATTGTACTCTCGTTCTAGCTCTTCTTCACCACATCAGAGAGCAGCTTCACCTTGGAAAGGACAAGGTGAGTGCCATCTTCCTAGGGGCAGGTGAGCTTATTTTCAAATAAACTACATGTGGGAGGCGACTGATGTATGTATGTTCATACAATAAATCAAATCTCAGTGAAAATCAATTTGACGTTATGAAGACACTAAATGCGCTGTGTATGAAGAACACAGTAGTATTACACCTAAGAAAACATTTATAAATTACAGTCTAGTAAACTATGTTATTGCACAATACCAACAGTTGCATAAATGAGAGGTAACAGAGACAGGGAAACAAACGTTGATGCATTTTGGTGGAATTTTATGTCACATTTGCACAAAGCAACTCAGCTACCATTTTTAAAGAGGAAGGAAAATGATTTATGGTATTGATTTATTTTTCTTCTACACATGAAATTCTCAACAGTGTGGTGTGTTCATATCCTTTACATTACATATTCTATATACTTTCCAACTCTACGGAGGTACCTCTCACATCTAGACTACTTTGCTTTTCTTTTGTTTCTGTAAAACAACTCAAGCTTTTTTAAAACTGGTTGAAACATACATTTTTAAATTATACCTAGAATTCCTGATTGGACTTAGTTGTAGACTGTAACTGAGCTAATCTAACACATGAAAATGATTTAATTTTAACCACACCACTGTTACGTTGGCTTTATGTTTGGGATTGTTGTGATTGTTTGGATAATTCAACTTCAAATCTGCTTATGCACCAGTTGACAGTTTTCCTGTCTCTGCTGAAGAAAACATCCCCACAGCATCATGCTGCCACCACTATGTTCAGTGTAGGTGATGCAATGTTAGTTTTCCACCAAAAATAGCTTTTTGTAACAGGATATATTGCATTAAGATATTGCAGATATTGCAGTAAGAACATCAGAGAGAGGGTGTTGAAACTGAATGCAAACACTACTTTACAGTTTTTTACTAAAAGAAAAAGCTGAACTTTACTTTCACTTTGCAATAAGCATGACTGTGTGTTGGTCTGCCATAACATTTTAAACAACGTTTTTGTGACAACAGTCAAAGAGTACGAATGCTTTTACAGTTTGTTGATTATCCATTGTAGTTTTCCATTGCAGGGATTCAGTTTTTGTACACAACTGTGTTTGGTGTCTTTGCTGCTTTTATTTTCCTGAGAACTGGGGAGAGGCAAAAATACACATTCATGTGTCCTCTAATGTGTCCTATTAGAGGACACATTCATCCTCTAATAGCGCCATCTCGTGTTCATATGGTAGTTTCACATGTTGTGGTCTGTTCTTCCCAAGGTCATATTATGGGTCCAGTTTTGTGCCATTCATTCTGCAACAGCCAGGGTCTCCCTGACACTGGTTCCGCTCTGAGCCGCCCTCAGCGTTCAGCCGTGCTGATCTGCTATCTGACTGGAGTCCTGCTGTTTCTGGTGGTGCTCTTCCCCTTCACAGACCCCTTCCTCTATGGCTGTCTGCAGCCTCGCCGCCTCTCAAGCATTGGAATGTTGATTGAGAAAATGTCAAATACTCAAGAAAGTCATGAAAAATAAAGGTTTGAGACAGATTTTAACTTTAATATAATTTTTTTTCAGTCATGATTAAGACTTTTCTGAAGTGCGTGCATGATTTTTGCGGGTGGCAGGAGAAAGATCCCAGTGCTTCAGACATTTCCTGCATGGTTCAAAAATATTTCCTACTGTATGAAACTTAACACCAGCACAAAACTCCCTGGCTACAACAAAGTAGCAGAAGCGTGCATGAGTGCAAGCATAGAAAACCAGATGGAATATGGTGGTGAAGAAGAAAAAGAAAAGCAGGCAATAGAGGACACGATCACAAAGAAAGACGCGGAGGCAGGCAAAACATGCAGACATCGTTGCCAATAAATACACCAACAGAACCAAATTGGAGAGAGACAGCTATTTAAAGTCATGTTTTTAAATCAGACAAGGCAATGAAAGCCAGAGGAAGACTTAAACAGAGAGGAGTGGAAAACAAGTGGTTCCAGCCAGAAGCAATAAGAAAAGGTAGAGTGGGGGAGCGCAGGGATAAAGATTGTTCTTCCCTGGGGAAATTGAAAATGTGGAGTAGCAGAGCAGAGGAAAAGGGAAAGGTCATGCAGGGTATGTTGAAATGTCTGGGAGGTGAAAGGTTGTGTTGAAGCTCCAGATTTATGAGGTAGGTTTATAAGTAATAAAACCTTTGCGACGTAAAATTGGGCAAACATCATAAATTCACATGTATGTGTCTTTTCTTTTTCTCCACAGATTCCAGATGCGTTTTATTTCTTGTCTTTTTTTTACAGTTTGTAGCTGTAAACTCTGGTGCTCATTTTACAATATTCAATTTCACTTGACCTACTTTGTAACGTCTGAATGACAAATGAAAGAGGAATACACCAGCGAAGTCAGAAATGTGAATATACTCATTATCAACACAAATATCATACTAGTAATATTTAATAGTTTGCTCAGTACTTTGCTTCATGGTACAGCAACTTCACACTTCACTACAGCAAGTTTGGATTGTGAATTTTCTTCATTCTGTTAACATTGGTTCTGTATCGTTTTCTTGACACACAGCTGTTACTAAAACGTAAAGCTGCATGAAGGATGCATTCCCATTCACATGGTTCATTTACTGCTTGGAGCCAGATGTTCGTGAAAGAAGTAAAAACAAAAATCTAGTTTATGGATACAGAGAATGCATTGTTAGAAACTCAGGGTTAGCCGATGAGATAATTCTTGGTATCAACAGAAAATGTTAAGCAAATTCACAGAAGTCACATTGCTGTCAAAAAAAGCTGAAAATTTATCAATTTGTCTCCAACTGTGGTCAAAAATACAAAGTCACAGCAAGAAGATCAGACTAATGGCTTGTTTTTTCAGAAGCATGTGTCCTGGATCCAGATTTAAAAGCAGTGTTGTTCCTTGCCCCGTTTCACCCCATTAAAAAGCAGTTAAAAAGTTTTAACTTTAACTCACCTAATCCCAGCTTTTGCAGCCGACTGTTGCATGACCTAATGCATCAGGATAGGAGTTAGACAAGATCAGAAAATATTTTTTTTTTTTTTTTTTTTACGACTAAAGACATACTGAGAACAAACTAATCTCAAAACGGTGCGCTGTGTTCTCAGTCTTCAATTTGAGCTTGGTTTCAGGCCCACAGAAGGCACGTAGGCTAAGAATGAACAAAGGCTAAACAGCTCGGTAATTATTTATTTATGTGTGTCTCATTTGAGGTCAGATGTACTTGAATGTGTCTGGGATGTGTGGGTTCATGTTTACAGAATGAACAGTGCATCGGAGGTTCAACAGCTTCTAAAGAATGCATTAATCTGACGTCTGCAGGGCTGCAAGCAAAACAAGGTGGTTAAAAATATTCATGAACTCAGATCATGATCAAATAAAAGAAAAAAAACAGCAGCAACAACAAGAGTTTACCTGGCTAACAAATGTTTTTGAGTTTTATATGCTGCCTTCTAAGGTATTTTCACCCTCTGAACTTTTCCAAATCACAATCAAAAAGCTTTGATGCTTCAAATTGAGACTTTGAGCTTGAGTGAAATGTTTATTATTTTGTGTTCTTGTCTTCAAAATGTCCTCAGTTTTCAAGACCTATCATATATTTTCAATTTGCAGGTCTGATTACACACTGATTGTTGTTTAGCTGCAGCTTAAACCTCCAACCCTCAGATCTGACATTTTATGTTTAATGCTTTATCCAGTATTATCTTGATTGTATATTTTCAGAATGGTGTGTTTATATGTTGTTCATAATGTAAGGTGTAAGTGTATTACTGTTTACTGATTTCCCGTAGCAAACCTCAGAGACCCTCAGAGCAGCTGGGTTTATTTTGAGGTCAATTACCCATTACCTCAACTGTGTGTAAATTTTGCTGGATTTTATTGAGCGGTAAAGATGCAAGATAAAGAAAACCCAATTACAAATGCATGCCACATTCATTCACAATTCTAACTGAACAGGTTTAAAAACCTTGTGTCCTTTTTTGCTTTCCCTCACAAATATGCAATAAAATCTTTTCTAGTAACATAAAATCCAAATTTGTACAACACTGTTACTTTGCATACTCCAGGTTTACCATTTCAGTTTCTCATTTTAAATATGAGAACTAAAAGTCAAGGAACTTTTCTACAAGGCTGGAGAGTTCTTATTTCTGAGCTGATGTGAAGAATACCAAGAGCAGCTCTGGTCACAAAATCGCTTCTTTCCCCTCTGCTCTGCTATGTGAAACGCTAGAAAGGGTTTGGTCCAGTGGGGATTAAGGCGGCTGTTCTCTTTATTTATTCAAAGTCAGGCTGCTGAGCTCTCATTTTGCTCCCTCTCTCCCTCCTGTTTAATACATTTCAGCTCAGTCACACTTGAAGTCTTTCCATTCCAAGAAAGTATTCAGCTGCTGGCTGCTTGAATCTTTCGAGGGGGACAACACTGCTGCACTGGATCAAGCTTGTCAGCACTTTTCCAAGATGCAACAGCCTTACCTGTTTGCTCCCTCTGTGATTTTCCCAGATAATTATACAGAGATAAAGCCCAGCAGCCTCAGTGGCCACCCTCTGAGCTGGTGTGGTGGCCTCTGCCTCCCAGTTGGACGGGTGAAGGAACTAATGGGGGAGGAAAAGAAGACCCTGTTATTAGACGTCCCTGCACATAACAAGTCTGCAGAAGATTTTAGCATTGCGTTTAGGGAGTAATTTACATTCTTTTGCCGATGCAAAGTCAGGCAGTTTATGGTTTCTTTCTCCCCCCATGTTTTTTTTCCCCCCCAAAATGCTTCATTAAAAAAAAAAGAGGCACACAGTGGAAAATGAGTCCTAGTCATACAGGGGATGTGGAGATGTGGTGCAAAACTTAAAGTTCAAGTGAAACGTTGGAGAAAGAATGGCAGGAAACGGTTCAGAAATAAGCCAGACAGAAACACGTTGGATGCCTTTCTGTCTCTTTGCTTCTCTGTGAACCTTTTGTGTCCTGATCCTTTCTTGTGGAGCTGACATCCTTTCTTCTCACTGTTAATGCATTTACCATCGCAGACACACACACACACACACACACGCAAAATAGTCCGAAGTGCTGTATGATGATAGAAGTGTCATATGTCTGTGCAGATCTACAGTATGTGCGCACGGCTGAGTCTATGGAAAAGTTGAGCCGATCATCTGGTAAAGGAATAATCTGTCAGGAGTCAGCCTGTCCGTGCGCTCTGTCCTTCATCCTTCGGTCTGTTTGTTTGTGGTTCGTCCATGTGGAGGACAGCTGAGAGCACTTTATCTTTAAAGAGAGCAGCTATGCTATGTTTTCTGTTTGTTTCTTTCAGTTTTAGATGGCCCTTATGTTATGGTTGAGTAAAAAAATGAAAGACGATAATAGATTTTCCAAACTATCTGTCAATTTAAAAACCTCAAGTTTTTCCATGGGAGCTGTGCTTGCACTGGGCATCTCCCAGTGCTAACATGAGTCAGACGAAGCATGCAGAGTGCTCATTTTCACTTAAAATCCTTCCTTTAATATGGATTTACTTCTGCGTGATGACATACAGAACTGTCCTGACATTTTCAGTTGACTGGTTCAGTATTTTTTAATTAATCACTGTACACTCAGGGGGTCGCTGCAGTCATTCCAGATGTTTGTGTCAAAGATTTGTTGATAGTCTGGGTGTGGATTGAGGGCATTCGTGTCTGCAGCAAGAGATGAAGCATATGGACTTTGTAGAATAAAAGTTTGATCTCGTTCCCCTCAAAGAAATCACCCAGTAAGCAGCAGCTTATATTTAGCCATAATGGAGGCTGCTAATTGCTTCAGTGTGTCCCTGTGTGTTTGTCTGTGTGAGAGTAGGCAAATACTGATGGGTTCTGCTGAATTTAATACGGCACAGACACTTCCATATGCACAAACAGTGTGAGTCTGTGATCAGCTAACCCAAGACTGCAATGTAATAACAGACCTTGACATTAGTGGGAAGTTAAGAGACATCAGGGACACAGTTCTCCTTTTTATTACCATAGCAAAGACACTTTGTGAAGGTCAGTCCCTGCAAACAGTGCCGTTTTTTTTGTTTATTTGTTTTTTTCCAAAAAACCCTTAAAAATGTGGCGTTGTTTTGCTCTGTTTTTTTTTTTTTTCACTTTAAAAGCATTAAAATAAAATCCAGTGCGAACAATTACCTTTGCGGTTCTTATTGGTAAATAGTCATCCTGTGTGATTTAATCTCTGTATAACTACAACCATTCTGTAAAGACCTCAGAAGTTAGAGAACAAAATAACATCATGAGAACACAGCAGACTGCTCAGGCCGAAAGTTGTGACACCGTTTAGAGCAAATATTCTTGAAAGCACAATCAACTTGGTGGTGGCAGCATCATGCTTTACAACTAAACTAAACTTTCTGTTTAGTTTAGTTTAATCATGGTAGCATCAGATGAGTGTTTAAGTTAAACATAATGACTTCACCCTAAATAAAATCTGGCTTTAATTCCTGCATATTTACTCAAAATAATGAGTAAATTATTTTGAGTAAATAATTTACTCATTATTTACTCAAAATAGATTAGATTTGAGTTTTATTTTTCTAAAACTCAAATCTAACCGTACCACAGATCTCCACTTAACTTAATATCTTGGCATCTATTGGAATGGTTATGGATTTTTACACAATTTGCAGAGACAGTTATTATGTGCATTAAAAGCACAAATCACTCTGACTTTTGCTGTTGGCATGTTTTTTCTTTACAGCTGTTACCAGGTTAACAATTTGCTCCCAGACATGAGTGTTTAATTTGGAGTGGGGATCAATATTCCGCTTCACATTCTATTTTTATAAATTCTGTAATATTGTAAAGTATGAAGGATCATCTGGTTTTGATTTATCCGTGTTACCAAATACAAACCTAAACAATGCAAAACATATGGGATGGCACTGAGCAACAGCTGGAGTTTATTTATATTGGATAAAATAGTGAGTGTCAGCATGCTTGGACAAATATTACGCCTGTTTTGCATTATCAGAGAGATTCTATGCTTGAATCCAACTGAACACATGAGGATAAAAATCACCTTTAAACATTAAACTTATTCAGTGCCAAAGATTGACAATATAGTATAAAAGGAGGAAAAAAGGCAGCTCACTCATCAAAAAAAGAGCTCCTCTGATTTCTATGTTTTTTGAAAGCATATTTTCCAAACTTTAAGTTCTAGTATTATATATACTTAAATGGTCTTTTAAAATGCAATTACTATGAAATACCAAACCCTTTTGGAATTAAATAAAACAGAAATGAAGAAACAAGACTTCTTTGCTGCTTTCC